GATGGAGAAATTTGTTTCCTGCAGCTCCAGAGAATAGGACCCAGAATAATGGATTGAAGCTACAGGAAAAGAGATTCTACCTAAACATTAGCAAGAACTTCCTGGTGGTAAGAACTGTTTGACAGTGGAACATGCTGCCTTGGAGTGTAGTGGAGTCTCCTTTTTTGGAGGATTTTATACAGGCTAGATGGCCATCTGTTGGGAGTGCTCTGATTGTGTATTTCTTCTTGGCAGGGGGCTAGACTGGATGGCCCTTGTGGTCACTTCCAATTCTAGGATTTTATGACTGTAGGTTCTCATCCCCACTGAGCTGGTTTCTAGACCCCAGTGGACCATATTCTTTCTCAGCCTGATATATAACAGAGTTGAGTGGAGCTATTGAGGAAGAGGAGTGTCATAAATGTTGAACTCATCAGCAGGATAGATATGCAATAAATATATTAATCAGATATGATTAGGGTTTACGCCAGTCATGTATGGACACAAGGCCAGTATGTAAAAGAGTATTAATCCCATCTCCCCAACCAATGTGAGCTCAAGAACCCCATGAAGGTGACATTGCATGCATTGTTCATCTTCTACTTATTTGTCCATCATGTATGTTTTCTCATGGCCTTGAGTAAGGATGGGCAAAGTATGACCATTGAGATGTTATTGGGCTGTAATTCCCAGCATTCCTTACCACTGGGTTCACAGAATCATAGTTGGAAGAGACCACAAGAGCCATCCAGTCAAATATCCTGCCATGCAGGAATTTGCAATCAAAGCACCCCCAACAGATGGCCATCCAGCCTCTGTTTAAGGACTTCCAAAGGAGACTCCAGCATCCTCTGAGGAAACATGTTCCACTGTTGTGTCAAACAGCTCTTACTTTCAGTAGGTTCCTCCTAATGTTTAGGTGGAATATCTTTTCCTGTAGTTTGAATCCATTATTCCATGTCCTCTTCTCTGGAGCAGCAGAAAACAAGCTTGCTCCATCCTCAATATGACTCCTCTCCAAATACTTATACAAGAATATCATATCACCTCTTAACTGTCTCCAGGCTAAACATACTCAGCTCCCTAAGTCTCTCTTCATAAGGCATGGTTTCCATGGTTTGATAGCTAGGGCTAGTGGAAGTTCCAGTCCAACTTCCAGAGGACTGCACTTTGATCCCCTGCAATCTAGAGTGAAGCCCACACACTTCATACCCTGAAATGACCTGTGAGATGTGACAGAGGGAAATATCAACTTCTCTCTGTACCAGTGCTGAAAAGATTTTAATTGGATTCAGCCCTTAATGGTTTACTTCTAAATTAAATGACTGGACAAAATTCCTAAACAAAACATTTATAGAAAAATGAGTCACCAAAACATTGTACATACACACCTAATACTGTAAGCATTAACAAAGTTCCATAATATACAGAAGAAACATCCTGCCAGGTCCACATGTGACAAAAGATATATAATAAAACATTGAAAGTGGGTCTAAGATCCCCTCAGATCTACTCATAAGTACATCCCACTGAGTTCAATGGGGCATAATCAGTGGCAGTATTAATTTTCTTTTAAAACCTGTCTGCCTGCAGCAAGAAACATATTTGTCCAGACACTGTACACATACACAGTCAATTATTTTTTATACATAAGTGCAAAAGCCTATGATCTGAAGCAGAGATTTTGAAAAGTGGTAGCACCAATGTCCTATGGCAGAAGAGGAGTAGCAGGAAAAATGAGAGCAAATGTTTTTAACTTGGCAATTTGCTGTTGGGTGCCATCAAGTTGCTTCTGACATGGCAACCCTAAGGTGACCTAGGGCAAGTCACACACCCTCACCCTAAGAAAACCCTGTGGTAGATTTGCCTTAGGGTCACCATAAGTTGGAAACGACCTGAAGATACACAACAACAAGGCAAATCTACCACAGGGTTTTCTTGGCAAGATTAGTGCAGCGGGGGTTCTTAAGCTGAGGAAGTGTGACTTGCTCAAAGTCACCCAGTGGATTTCCACTGTGGGAATAGAAACCCTGTTCTCCAGAGTTGTAATCCAATATTCAAACCACTATATCATGCTAGGTCCCAACTTGGTTATAGAATAACATATTTAATGATACTAAGCTGGACAAAATAGTTTTTAGGAAGCAAATCAAAACCTATACTCACCTGATCAATTTGACTTGGAGAAGACAGTGAGAAGGCAGCTCTGACATAAGAGCTGGGATCAGAAGTGCTAATGTTAAATGCTCTTCCAGGAACCAGCAATACCTAAAAAAATAATTCTTTTTCATTTACTTATAAACAACTTATATTTTTTTGGAAATATCTGACATGGTCAAATTATTATTACCCCATCCCCATCCTCAGTTTTATTCTAGCACCCAAAACTTATTTTTCCTACTTGTTTTTCCAAAGCTTTTTTCATGATCAGCTCCTGTGTATCAGAAACTCCCTTAAGTTTAATCCATAGAAACATTCCCGCAGCAGGTATATGCCAGTCTGCTAAGCCTACGAGAAAGAAATAAGGAACTAGATGAAAAAGATAAGCATCCCCTCCTTGCCATCTAATCAACCCAGATCTAGGTTTTAGAAGAACTGCACTGAATATAAGTTTCTGTTTAAACTTAAATAGTGTTGTTATTCACTTCTCGTCTTCCTGGCTATAAGACAATAGAAAGATACAACATGTGCCTGCATACCGGTGCACTTATGAGTGACGTCTGGCTATGTAATAGACAACTGCTTTTCTGTAACATGGCTGGGCTTCATTTATTACAATCCTATACCTGAGATAAATCCCACTGAAAACTTTTTTTTAAAAAAAATCCATTTTTTAAACATTGTATGTAACTCTGATTTTAAATAATATTTTTAGTTGTTTTTAAACTGGTGGGCAGAAAAGTGATAAATAAATATTTGCAATAAATAACAAAAATGTGAACCCACTGGGAATTTAATCTAAATCAGGGGTAGGCAACCTTTCCCCTTTAAGGGCCGAGGGACTTCAGCTCCCAGAAGCCTCAGCCATGTTGGCCAATAGTCCCATGTTGGCCAATAGCTCCTGGGATTCTGGGAGCTGAAGTCCCTCGGCCCTTAATGGGGAAAGGTTGCCTACCCCTGATCTAAATGGACATGAATCTGATTTTACTGTAAAGTTTCTGTTTTGGAGATTAGAGGTTATCAAAAGAATTGTGTCCAGTTCTTAATCTGAAGGTCTGTATCTTCCCATGAGATCTGAGGGAGGCCGTTATTGTGATCCTACAACTCTCACAGGCACGTCCAGAGGGAATATGGGAGAGAATCTTCTCGGTGTCTGCTCACCTTACTGGCTCCCTCCTTACTGTCCTTTCATTGGCAGGTGAATACTTGTTTGTTCTGACTGGTTTTGGGGAAATGACTGTTTTGGAAATGACTGTTTTGAAGAAAAGGGATATATATTGTTTCTTGGGGTGAGTTTTTTTGCTTTTTGCAGGGTTTCTTTTAAGTAGCTTTAATTCTAGAAACAGCTTAAGGCTAGTCTACATGTAAGTGTATTATGCAAATTGCTGAGGATTTTCATATATTCACATCAGTGCTTAGTAGTCTCCATTTTCCTACACAAATCTGCATCATTTAGCCCGCCCTCTGCCAAAAATGCAGTCATGCGACTACACACAAGCAGACGGACAACTACATCTTCAATAATGTGCATCCTCACAGATATTCAGGCAAAAAAATTGATTCCTTTTTCTGTGGAGTTTGAAGTCCATCTCCTCTCTCCCCAAAAAAAGCCTGAACTCTTCCAAACCACATGTGGAGGGATCATATTCTATTAAAATAGAATGAGGAGGATTTTAATAATGTACACAAGCCTCAAATTATGCTTTAACAATTATCTTTTTAATGTTATGGTGTATCAGTGATTTTTGCATGCATAGCTTTCCTTACTGGCCATTTGTGTTCAATTGAGAAGTTTGTATTTATAGTTCAAGGTTGTGGAAGCAGTTATGTATGCAATGTCATACACATGTGATGCCACTGTGCACTGTACACATAGATGCACATTCCCTATCATAAATGGAGATATGCACTGCATATTGTAATCATGCATTTTGATTTGTTTGCACAGTGTTGTAATTTACTAATGCACAATTACCACATAATTCTGTATAAAGTTTCACTCTGTTTCCTTGATGTAGACAAGCATCTCTTCTGTCTCTCATTTTATTTTATTTATTTTATTATACATTTTATTTATCTCTATCTAATCTAATACTGTAAACCGATTTGAGCCTCAGTTCTGGGGGAAAGGGCAGGATATAAATGAAATTGAATAACTGATTGATTAATTGCCTGCTGTGCCTATCTTCTTACACATTTTCTACAAATGTGGAAACCTACCAACATTGTTCTCACTGGTAATGTAATTCATTTCTCATGGTGATATACTTCATTTATTCTTATTGCTGTTATTTATATCGTACTTTTCTGGTATTCAGTGGCACATAAGAAAGTAGCAACACAAACAGCCAAATGAAAAGAAAAATACAATTAAACTATAATGACAAATTAAAAATACAATTAAAACACATTCATTAAAAAAATACAGCACCCAGCCAGTGAAATCCCCTTCAAAAGCTTCTCAGCTTAAAAGCCAAAGACCTGTCTGAATAAAAACAACATATTTGCATTTGGTTGGAAAGACAATGGAGAAGGATCTAGGTTACTAATTGTGTGTGTGTGCGTGTGCGTGTGAGAAAAAGAGATGAAGGGCCTCTTCTGAAGATCATAAAATTCAGGCAGACTCATTTGAAGAATATGGTATTTCATAGAATCTCATTCTAAGAAATAAAAACAACTGCTTTATAGTTCAAATCCTTATAGCTATCTCCAACCTTTTAGCCACTTATCTGCTGCCATAAGCATCACATCTCGTTGTTGCTTGTAGAAATCTACCACACTGGAAGAAATACAGAAAAGAATGAGGGAAAATATCAACAAGAAGACTGCAGTATTAAAACTCTAATAGTAGAAAAAGGAGAGCCAGTATTGCGTAGTGGTTTGAGCATTAGACTATGACTCTGGGAGACCAGGGTTCGAATCCCTGCTCAGCCATGTAAACCCACTGGGTAACTTTGGGCAATTCACACTCTCTCAGTCTCAGTGGAAAGCAATGGCTAACCTCCTCTGAAGAAACTTTGCCAAGGAAATCCCATCATAGGTTTGCTTTAGGATCACTTGAAAGCATACAAAACAAAGAACTGTAGAGAAAGACATATCAATCTGGGGAAAGACTTACAATAGAACCAGAAATCTGACAACAGTGCATTTCTGCAGTGCAGACACAGCCTTAGTAGGAGCAAGAATTTTTTTAAAAAAATGTCAAAATGTGAAACAATACAGCTACAGTAATGAAAAGGAAAACAAATGTCAATAGCAAGTATATTAAATATATATCTCTATATAGATATCTATTACCTGTCTACGTGGTCCAGGAAACCTTTTTGACCCCACTGCTGAAGAAGCTGGGCTATCATAATCTATAGAAATAAAGCCTATAGTAAACATTTTTTCATTAGTGAAATAGTTACTAAAAGCAATCACGAGTGTCATAAATATGAAAGTATCTGTATTCCAAGCCATGCATGTTAATTCAGGGGTAAGTTCAGTGGGGCTTACTCTCAGGTACAATATACAGGAATGCAGCCATGGGTACCTTCGGGATTGAGCTGTGTGGATAAGTGTGCTGTCCCACACCATTCTGAGGGTAGCTGATGTTCCTAATTAATACCACACCTTTCAAACACTAAAAATCCCCTCCCCCATTAAGTTCAGTATTCTTAAATAATTCAGACAATAATTTAATATGCAATTTAGTCAAATATCAGAAGGAGTTAAAAAAAATCTTTGGGCTGTGTGTGTCACACCTTCAAGGTACTTGTCAACTTATGGCAACCCATGAATTACATAGGGCTGTGATGGCGAACCTATGGCAAGCATGCCATGGGTGGCAAGCAATGACATTTTGCCTGGCATGGGTCAGGGAGGAGGAGGAACACGCACGTGCATGCCCATGGCTCCTCCCCCGTCATTTCCTGGCTTTCAGCTGTCTCTTGGAGACAGCTGGAAGCTGGTAAAAGTACGAGGGGAGAAGCCACAGGTGCACACTTGTTGCTCCTCTTCCCGGACATTTCCCAGCCTTCAGTTGTCTCTTGGAGACAGCTGGGGGCCGGGAAAAGGACAGGGGGAGGAGGAGCAACTAGTGCATGCCCGTTGCTCCTCTCCAGGGACCTTTCCCAGCCCCCAGCTGTCTCTTAGAGACAGCTGGAGGCTGGGAGAAGGGTGGGAAGAGAAGTTCCACCCTGGAAGTCCTGCCCCCAGAGGATGGAAGTTCCACCCCTGGCACCGGGTACTACCTGGTGCCGTAAAAAAATTTACTTGGGGCACACAGTCCCAGAAAGGTTTGCCATCACTGACACAGGGTTTTTTTAGGGAATATTTAGAGGTGGTTTTGCCAGCTCCTTTCTCTGAAATATAGTCTACAACACCTGGTATTTGTTGGTGGTCTCCCATCCAATACTAACCATGATTTGACCCTGCTTAGTTTCCAGCATGAGACAGGATCTGGTGCCTTTAGGGTATTTAGGTCCTTCTTTGGGCCGTACACTGTATTTAAAGCTTTATAGTACCTTTTATTTCCAAGGAAAATCCCCTCCCAAAATTCTGAAAATGATTAATTTTTATGAAAATTATAATATGAGGTGTGACTGTACAATAAACTATTTCACCCCCTCAATAGGAACTATGTAGGCGAAGATGGCTCCACAACTTACATGGCAAACACATATAGGTTTGGACAACAAATCTGTTTTGGAAAACTTGATAGCTCTTACTTGAGTAAACGTGCTGGTATGCATTGTAGAAACTTGTATATGTAAAATAACTCTGTCAATCAGAGGTTTCGGTCCAGTTAGAAAGCCAATTCTCAACCTACATGAAAAAAAGATTAAATACAATTAAAATATTCTCTTAGTATACATTTAAAATTCAATGTCACCATTTTCACAGACTTGTCTTCTAACATTTACTTTGAAATAACAGAAGAGAATGACAAAAGAGGAAGGAACATAAAAACAAGATAATAAAATGAAAGCTAACCAAGGAGTCCACACAATTGTGGGCAAACTAAATGCCTAACACTGATTACAGTTTCATTCTCTTCTGTTGTTAAAAGTTAGTGATTCAGAAGTTAAAAATAGAGAAACTACATCTCTGTATTCCCAGTTCTGTGCTCTAACTACAGGATCCTAAACGTGAAGTTGACTTTACCCAGAAGAGAGGATCTTAGAGAAAGAGTCAGTCCTGATAACTCGGCCATCAGTGTCCATTGAAAGAAAAGTTGGTGCCCAAGGCTTGAGGAAAGAATACAGAAATTTATTATTAAAAGTAAATGCAAGAATTTCAGTCCATAGAGATGGAGACCCAAAATATGCTGTGGAAAAGTGAGGTTCTAAATAACTATTGTACACACAATATTCATCATAACCTTTCAACAGTATGGATCTCCCTCTGATGCTCCTTTCTCACACCCTCTCTCCATCTAGCGCTAGAACAACATCTTCCCCAAAGGATGGTATTTTGTAAGAGAACATAGAGATGTGTGCTACCAGAGAGATGGAGAATGCTGGGAAACAGAAAGAAAACAACACAAGGAACATTGAAGCAAGCTAAATTGCAATTAATTCACTGTTGTTGATTCTTCTTTCACCATCATCTCACACCCTACTCCAGAATTTGGGAACATTACTTTTTGGAATACATCTCTCTAAGAATCCTTTAGCCACAAGGTGGCCATACTGGTTGGGGGTTTCTAGTAGTTTAGTCCAAAAAAGGTAACTTCTCTGCCATACTCACACAGGCATAGTTTTACATCCCCCGATTCTCTCCCCTCCTCAACAGAGTTATCTTTTTGATGCCAGTTCCCAGAATCCCCCAGCTTGGTTGAGGCATTCAGTACAGAAAAGTTACTTTTGTATGGCGTGCTCTACTCACATAGATAGGTTCCTCTATCCCACTATTCCACACATATCAGGGATTGGCAACTATGCTGGGTCATGGAACCAATTTTCTGCCTCTGGGACTTTTTAGGGGCTGCACAGATTTTTTGCCATGGCGGGGAGGGAAGATCCCAGCAAAAGTGGATGGAAGTTTACTTTCAGTTTTGAAAAATGTGTATTTTTTAAAATGTTAGTGTGTATGTGTATATATGTGTGGGGAGGGGGAGTGAGGCCTATTTAAAAGGTGACTCACTGCCCTTGGAAGCTTTGATATGGCACTTTTTTTGGTCAGGAAAAAGCAAACAGAGGATGAGCTCTAGGGCAGTAATTTCTAAACTCTGGTCTTCCAGGTGTTTTTGGACTTCAGCTCCCAGAAGTCTCAGTCATCTTGGCCAATGGTCCTGGATTTTGGGAGCTGAAGTCCAAAACACCTGGAAGGCTAGAGTTTGGGAATCACTGCTCTAGAGCCATCAAAATAGCCTTTGGGGGAGGCGCATGCTTCACCCCCCCTCCAACATATGCATTATGTAAGCAGAGCTAACAAAGCAAAGGAAATGTATTCATTTTCATTTTCACTTTCCCTTCATACATTAATTAAAGTTGCAGTTTGAATGCTTGAACAGAACTAGTACTTCAATGTTTTAGAACAAGTCAGAGAGGCCTGTACTATTCTTTCAAATCTTGTAGTTCAAAGAACAGCAGTTAGAGTGAAAATTTCTACTTTGAGGAGAAAGAATGAGACAATTCCAGAAGACAATCATGAATGTGCTAGCAGAACAATGCAAAGTAGTGCAAACATTGCTCTCTTTTCTAATGTAGGAAGCTATAATTATTAGTAAACCTAACTAAGAACTCACCTTATTAAACTGAAGAAAGTAATATGGATCATCTTCTATGACAAGGAAGTCATATAGCCTTGCAAGCTGAAAGGAAAAAACACACACACATACATATGTATATAAAAGCATTTGCTCAAATTAAAATAGTTTGCCCCAAACAGTTCACCTTTCTTTCCACAATCTCATATCATCCAGTTCTCTTCAGATGTCCCATGTAGATTCAAGCTTAATTCCAGATGGACTTATGAGATCTCAGCAGTGGAATTCTCATTCTTAAGGTCTGCATATATTATATTAATTGATATATTTTATTATTAATTATATTGTCAAACTTTGACTTCTGTGGGTTTATCTTTTGCAGATTTGATTATTCATGAGTTTGACATCAATATTAAATGGGATTTGGGGGGAGTTTTGCAGCCTACTGCACAAAATCACAGTGACATGCATAGCAATAACAATAGCACTTATATTTCTATACCACTTTATAGTGCTAAGCACTTTCTAAGTGGTTTACAATGTGTTAGCCAATTGCCTCCAACAAGCTGAGTACTACTACTACTACTACTACTACTACTACTACTACTACTACTACTAATTTGTATCCCGCCTCTCCCTGTTGAGGATCAAGATGGGTAACAGCAAAGATTAATACAATTACAGAAATAATAACAAGAAAGTAATTCCCCACCCCCACCCCTTCGACCCACCCTCCCTTTGATATAAAATTACAACAACAAAATCCCTATAATTAAACAACAATTAAACACAGTTAATAACAGTGGCAATGTCTATAGGAACTAGATCAGATGGGCAGTTAGTTCAGATCAGGACAGAGGTCAGTCTGGGAAGGCCTGCTGGAAGAGAATAGTTTTTATTGCCTTTATAAAAGCGTCAAGGGATGTAATCTGGCGAGTCTCCTCCAGCAGGTCATTCCAAATTTTAGGAGCGGCAGCTGAAAAGGTCCTCTGGGAAGTCACCACCAGTCTAGTTTTCATTGACTAGTAAGTTCTTCCCAGAGGACCAGAGTGTGCAGGGAGGACAGAAATATTCACAACATTTACTTTTGTGTGGGCCCTGAGCCCCTAATCCCAACAAATGTGGAGGGCCAACTGTATTGTATTGTATTTATATGACTGCCTATCAACAATATGGGAGGCTAAAAAAATCAACCAAATATCGTATTAAAATACAATACAATGATTAAACTATAACAAAA